GGACCTGCAGGCCTGCGCGGGTGGCCATCTCGAAGACCTCCCGCACACCCTCCTTCGTCTTGGCCGAGCACTCGAGGTAGCCGAAGGCATTGATCCTGTTGGCCATGTCCCTCCCCTCCTCTGGCTTCACCGGCTCCTAGGAAGCATTAAAGAGAGGGTTCGGAAATATCGTCAGAAAACAGCAGCAAACGCACCGGGACTGCCCTGGGGGCACCCGGCCCTCTGCGCCAGGATCCGGCGCGGCAAAGGGAAGCCCCAGCGAGGCGCCCTCGGGCCCCCACCTGCTTCATCTTCGCCAGCTCCCGCCGTGTGTGCTCGTCGTTCCGCAGGTCCTTCTTGTTTCCCACCAGGATGATGGGCACGTTGGGGCAGAAGTGCTTCACCTCTGGCGTCCACTTCTCGGGGATGTTCTCTGCAACGAGGACACATGGAGCCCCCTGAGACAAGGGGCTGCTCCCCTCCCTCCGCCTCCTTCTCACAGCTTCGGGAACGAGCACCAGGCTTTTCCCGTAGGAAGGGAGGAGAGCTCGACCGTGGCATCCTCCTCTCCCATCACCTCCACCAAGCCAGCAAGTTCCCAGGATTTTTCTGGAGTGCACGCAAAGCCAGGAGATGGAGGGGAGGGACCGGCATCCCCCAGAGGGGCGGCACGGGGGTTTCCCAGACCCTGGGGTTTTAGCAGCAGCACCTGGTCCTGTGGGAGCCCCCCCTCGCTCCCTGGTCCCTACCGAGGCTGTCCGGGCTGTCGATAGAAAAGCACATGAGGATAACGTCTGTGTCCGGGTACGAGAGGGGCCGCAGCCTGTCGTAGTCCTCCTGTCCCGCCGTGTCCCACAGGGCCAGCTCCACCTGCGAGGGGAGAGGGATGTGGCGCAGCAGCTCGCAGACGGCTTGGCAAGCCAGGAGCGAGCAGGTTTATCTTCCTCAAACTGGGGCAGGTCCAGGGTGACCCAGAAACGTGAGAGGCGGGCAGTGGCAGTGCCAGCATGGGACCAGGGGAGCAAGGGGATGAGAACAGCTTCAGCACCCCACGATGGCCCTTACCTGCTTCCCATCCACCTCTATGTCAGCAATGTAGTTCTCGAACACGGTGGGCACGTAGACCTCGGGGAACTGGTCCTTGCTGAACACGATCAGCAGACACGTCTTTCCGCAAGCACCATCTCCCACGATCACCAGCTTCTTCCTGATGGCTGCCATCGCTGTGGGG